GTTTCGCGCAAAAATTAGCAAAAGCAACATGGCTCGATGCAAAAATTAGCAAAAGTTCAGTGCAAAAATTAGCAAATGCAACATGCTCGAACGCAAAAGACAGCAAAAGTTCGTGCAAACTTTAGCAAATGCAATGCGCGGCTTGGATGCACAAAATAGCAACAGTTCGGTGCAAATGTTAGCAGCTTTGCAGATGCCTGACAAAAACAGCAAAAATTTGGGACAGGAGTTAAGTAAATGCAGTATGCTTCGCTGCACAAGCCGGCAAAAGCAGAACACGCTTTTTGCAGTTGCAACGGCCCCAGATCAAGGTGCAACGAAACTGAGGCACACTGCTGCCGCATGGACGGGGCCTCCTGAGTTCCTTGGCGTCAGTCTAGCGTACGAACTCTCTCAGTTTTGCGCGTCTTCCTCTGCTGGAATGTAGCAGGGAGCACACGGCGCACGACTGGCCGAANNCTGGACGAAGCGGACGCCAGGCAGTTGGACTCTTCCCGCCCGTTACTCCGCCGGGATTTCGGCTGCCACAGCACATAGGAGAGTACGTCGACTTTCAAACGCGATGGAAAGATAGACATGACCGCATCCAGCGTTGGCTGTTCGTTGGACCAGATCCCGTCACCGTGGACATCCAGTTCAGATCGTAATCTGTCTGATATCTGTTGTTGGGCATCAAGAACTCCATTCCTCAAGAAAGCTCGGTGCCAGTCTCCCTTAGACACGACAGAGACAATAGAATTGCACACCAACCGCATCCAGGCTTCAGTGGAAACCTCTCCATCTGGACTACGCGACTTCTGATCCTGCCAAGACAGTCGCAGAGCCAGTTTCAGCCTTGCAAACACGTGTGTGTCACACGGCTGCAACAACCACGTCATCTTGGCAGGAATATACACTATCCTGATGCCACAGCGCCTCGCGTGAAGAAAAATGGAATTGTGAATGTGCGACGGATGAACATCAAGAAGGAGCACGACATACCTCTCCGACGTGAGCTTCCCCAAGGACTTTGCAAGCAAGCTCAACCACTTACGCATAGTGCTATGAGAATTCCAGGAAGAAGTCTGTCTCCAGAGCTGAATGTTTGGTGGCAACGTCCCAGCTACGGACCGAAGAAAGTTCAGCGTGAACTGGTGCTTGTTCCCTAGGATAACCTGCGGAAGCTTGGTCTGAACTGTACGATCGTCGGCCACACAGGCCAGATAGGACACGTAGCTTCTACGCTGCGACAAAGAAGCGTGTTCACTCGGACTGCCGGCCTTGGAGGCCGTTTTGACGATGGTTCCACGCAAGCCATGGAAGCACCTCCCAGTTGCTGTTTCGTCCATGTTGAGAAGGAGGGGCCTCAAACCTGTTGGCCCAGAGCTGAGCGCGAAGTTGACCCACTGGAAATAGGCTGCTGCCTTGGTCGGTCGGAACCAAGAATTAACCCTGCCTGACGGACCCGAAATGGGGCCCACCTGGCGGACCCGTTTCCTGACCCCGAACAGAAGACTGGGAAGGGAAGGCAGCCTTCACAAGAAGGCTACAAACAAGAAACAGCCGGACCCAAAAACAGGGCCGCCAGACGGACCCAAATTCGGCCCCAACAGGAAGACCCGAAAGACGCCGAACCCCACAAACAAACTCAGCTTACCTTCTCGCGCCGCTGTTCGGGAGAAATATGTTCTTGGACACGCAAACCACCAAGTCGTGCTCCCCAACGATTTCGAAAACGCTGAAGCCACTTCCGCTGCTTGCGGGCACTTCCACAAGCCAGTTTGCGCAACTTTTCCTGTATTTGAGCGGGAGCATGCTCGGAAATTTGCATTGGACATTGCGCACACACTTGCTCCCGAGAAGGTGCAACCCCGTGGGTAGCATTCTGGCTTGCAATCCAGTTGTATAAATTCCATTCTAGAACATACTTATGCGCAGAAAGCAAGTCGCTGAACTCGAAGTGGGTAAGCGGGTCTGTCTGCAAGGCAACAAAAGCTGATGGCGCTGCACTGCCGATGGCTTCCTCAACACCAATCTGGATTTGTCGCACCACCTCCGCATCTTGGAGAGCTACGCAGCCCACATGCTTGGACCTACAGGCCCACCCACGCCCGAGCACAAAGTCCACAGCAGCAGCTGATGACCGGCCAGCAAGAAGGTAAACCATGAGACATTGCGGACTGTTTGTCCGACATCGCTGCCTCCGCTCCGGTGTACCGAGCCTGCAGGCTGCAGCCTTGGCCTTGGCCCTCTTCCATCTTCTGGCCAAGTTGTTGATCTGTCGCTGCATGCTTGCTACGTCCTGCTGCGAAGCCATCGCGTTGGCAGTCTTCTGAGACGTCGTTTATGAAGCGTGGCATGTTGTTGACGCTAAGTCCACGCAGGTTAAGACTAAGAACATGCAAGCACTTTGCATGCGCAATACATACTGAAAACCTTCTGCCAACACAGAGCCGAGCAGCACAAGCACCACAAAGCAGAGACTTGTACACTCAACCCAGGGAGCTTAATGGCTTGTTAGCTTCGTCGCTCAGCAGAAATCCTTGCAGCGCGACAGTGATCGCCCCACATCGATTTACGAGAAAACTCACAACCGAGTCTCAACCGCCTTGTCTGTCTCATTTCACTTGTGCTTTAATGGCTTTCTACTGATTCTACTGCTTTACCTGAACCGGGGGGGCCCCTCATGATCGGGCGCCGATTCCACAAGGCTTTTCAGCACCAAAACAGGACCCCTGAACATGCATTTTTTGGCACGCATGAGCCGCGATCACGGAGAAATCTTCCTTGAAAATCTGCGCCGGCTCTACAGGCCCACAACGCCGCTGGCCGCTGGGCCTGTGCACGAAAAGAAGAAAGCAGGAAGACCGGGGCTGTTTCAAGCAGCTGCCTTCCACGTCTGCATCGGCAGTGGTGCCAGGACCACGCGCACACCCACCTGCCAATGAATCACGCGCAAGAATACCAAATACAAACCACACAAACACGCACCAATCAAAGCTGTTGCCTTGTGAGTCTGCATTGACGGCAACGGTGGCAGGGCCTGCCCGCAAAAAAAAGAAGGCAGCCAATCGACACCCGCTTGAGGCCACTGCCTTCCACGTCAACATCAACCACCATGGCCCCAATCCCACCTATCAGGAGTCACATGCCGGAAACACGCTGCTAAGCGAACCTGTCTGTTTCTTAGGGCACTGCCACCCAAGTCCACGTCGGCGACGGCTCCGCCCTCCGGCATAAGGCCTGCCAGCAAAAATGGAAACCAGCCAATCGAAGTTTTTCCACTCACTGCCTTGCAAGTCCGCATCAACCACCACGGCCCCGTGGTCACCTAGCAACGAGTCACGCGACCAAAGACAAACAGCCAATCGCGAAGCTGTCTCGGGACTGCCGCCCAACTCCAAGTCCGCATCATCAACGGCAATGGCTTCGCCACCATCGCCTCCTAACAAGTTTACAGCACAGCAGCAGGCATAAGCACGGACTGAGTCCCGGCCTCCCGGAACAGCACCAGCAACCATAGGCACAACAGGACCAGGGCCCGCGCCTGCCACACGCAAACTGGTCTGCATGTTTTTCCCTTATCTGGACTGATCGACTCCCTGCCTTCTGGAACGGCACCAGCAACCACAGGCACAACAGGACCAGCGCCCGCGCCTGACACACCGCAGACAGGTGTTTTTTCCCTTATCTGGCCTGGCCTAGGAGACAAGGTACCTGGCAAAGCCATCATCACAGCCTGGCTCACCAACAGCGCCAGCTGCCACGG